ATGAGGTAAGGAGGAGGTAGAGATGGTATTAAAAAAATAGTGAAGGATTAGAAATTTTTTTATTTTTTATATATTAAGCTTTATTTTTTTGAATATTAATATTTAATTTTTTTATTTTATATTTATTTTATATGAAAATAATTTAACAATCCCTACACTAACAACTATCATCAAAACAAATGCAATTTTACTTTATCTTCTTACTATCAATCCCCTCACTATGAATCTCCTCCATTCTACCTCTGAAAACAAACGGAGCCGTATAGTTATATTAGATGTTTATGTCGTTTTCAATTTTTTGTTTTACTCTATTTGATAGACTCTTGATTTAGTCTTATGCGATGATGATTTTAAACTTTGGTGTCAAGACTTTGGTTTTTAGATTATATTTTATTTCTAATTCTACTTCAATAAAAGCTTAAACACTTACGATTTATTAATTCTTTTGTTTGTATTTTTGTGAATGGTTGGATTGGATATTGAAGTAATATATAAATGGCTAATTCAATATTTTTATATAAATCATTTACTATACCACAAATTTAAGAAGTAAATCAAATTTGAAAGGTCATAAATCGAAAACTGTACTGAGCCGAACCATTTGAATTGGTGCAGTTTGGTGTGGTTTAGGAATTGGTCTGTATCGGTTCTCAATATAATAGAATCAACATTATTAGTTTGGTATAAATTTCATCTAAACACAGATCGTTCCGAACCGATTACATCCCTACTTCTTGTGAAAAAAATAAAAGAAATGGGCAGTAGACTATTAAAGCAACCTTGGTAAAAGGATAAATTATAGGGATTATTACATCCCAGTAATGTCAGAAAATATATATATATATACAAATTCATGAAAAGATTTACAAATTTAATTACTATTACTATTTATAAAGTTTCTTATTGATTTATAATTATTTTTTTAACATTCCCCTAATGTGATATTTCTCCTAAATTATATTAACACCTTTTGAAGTTTAAATTTAATATAGATCTCCCCTCTACCTTGCATAAATTACGCTGCAATCCCCGTAAGTGTCTAATTTGTGACTTGAGTTAACATAAAATTTAAAATCACCTTGTTAGCCTCACACTCTAAAATAAAATTACTTAATTATCCCAATCCAATAGCAGAATCTTCTTTCCCAACCCACTCTCTCATCCGCATCCTTCACGGAAAATTAATAGGTACTACCTGAGTATCACGTGTCCATACTCCTGACCACATCATCTCATGTTCCTCAATTACACAATACAAAATCATAATACCCCACTTCTCCACCAATCAAAATACAATGGAGCACCACATGGTCGTGCTCTGAGAGTATTCAATAATTACCCATCCTTTATATCGTCCACCATAACCAACCAAAACCTATCCCATTTGTGTCATTGCTACCAAATCCATAACCACCCCTCCACACCATCCATGTTTGTCACTACCATAACCATTGACCATATCCCCACCACAACACCAACGTCTATCTCCACCACATCCACCAATGTCCACCCAAATCATGTCGGCGTTATCGATGCTCCTCTCATCGATTCTCTTTGCCCGATCTCCTGTGAAGGTCGATGTGAATGCTCCTTATCCTGTCATGCTGAGGAACTGCAGGGATTGTTTTCTGCCTTCCTTTCTGGGCATCGTTCTTTGCCGCTGGAATCGGCATGTCCTTCAATGGAAACGGTGGCTGCATGAGGTTGTTCTGCATCATGAAGTTGACAACCGATAGCAGGTCTGCCAACTTGTTTGCCATCCCCTTTATCTCGCTGTCCGTCCTCAAGCGTCTATCTTTTCATGCCTAGAGGTCTCTTTCGTTGTAGTACTTGCCTTGGCCTGCCTTCTTTGGCACGTCTCCCTCTTGGCCGATGTCCTTTTCCTTGGGATTCTGCTCTCGGGGTTTTTCATTACAGTTCTCCTCCTCCATGTTGGGATCAGTGTGTTTACCACTCCCACTAGGGATGTCATTCCCAATCTTCTCTTTCTGCTCGTCGTTGGCCATCTATTCTTCTTACGATTCCCCCAGACGGCGCTAAATTGTGGGTGCTGATTTTCGACCACACTGCCAAACTGGAGAGCACAAGCAGAATAGATCACGCTGGAATGACCTGTCACATAAAGATAAGACTACAGCGGTGGTTCGTCCACCCGGGGGCACTCCGACGATCAAGTCAATACTCAGTTATCTCTCAAAGATAGGAAACAATGCTTAACTCACTAGCCAGAATACAAAAAGCGTACCTTAGACCCACGATGGTGCCTTATTTTTATAGCCAGCACTAACCTGATCCCTGTAAAAGCTTAGCTTCAATAGACTCTGGCTCAATGCTCATCTTGGACTCCTAGCCAGATAGAGATAAACTCCCTAAGAGTTTTATTTTTATTCAGGCTGAGGTCCTTCCCCATTCTAGGACTCTTGTCCCTTATCCGCTCATCTCAAACTTCGATATCTCTGCAGATAACCTCGATTTAGCCGAGATCACCTCGGCAACATGTCTAAGACACGTGGCACCTCGACTGATACTCCATTGCCACCTTGGCCACATGTTATCATTTATAAAATATGTCCCCACATATACAAATGGCTAATTCAATATTTTTATATAAATTATTTACTATACTACAAATTTAAGAATTAACTCAAATTTGAAAGGTCATAAACAGAAAATCGCACTGAGTCGAACCATTTGAATTGGTGCAGTTTGGTGTGGTTTAGGAAAAAATTTGGCTTGTATCAATTATCAATATAATAGAATCAACATTATCAGTTTGGTGTAAATTTCAACTGAATACCGACCGTCCCAAACTGATTACACCCCTACTTCTTGTGAAAAAAACAAAAGAAATGGGCAGTACACTATTAAAGAAACCTTGGTAAAAGGATAAATTATAGGGGTTATTACATCCCAGTAATGTCAGAAAAAATATATATACAAATTCATGAAAAGATTTACAAATTTAATTACTATTACTATTTATAAAGTTTCTTATTGATTTATAATTATTTTTTAACATTCCCCTAATGTGATATTTCTCCTAAATTATATTAACACCTTTTGAAGTTTAAATTTAATATAGATCTCCCCTCTACCTTGCATAAATTACGCTGCAATCCCCGTAAGTGTCTAAATTGTTAACTAATAAGGTAATTTTAAAGGCAGAAGGTTGTAATGTAGGATTTTAGGGGTAAACATGGCATTTTCAAAATAATAATTGATGACAAAAGCAAAATATGTTAGTTGAATCAACGGTCAATTAACAGAGCGGGAGTTTTGTAATGTGACTATAAATCTCTGGGAGGAGATGTAATCTCAGGGGATGTCAATATAATTTATCCTTGCTAACATTTAGCATTTTGACACTGTAGCAATGTCAAAATTTGGCTTTGACTATCCATTGTAGCATTTTAGCAATAGAGATGCTCCTAGTTCTGGGACCATCAGTTAAAAAGAAACCATCAAGGTGCCTTTAATTTACAAAATGGCCTTTGTCGTCTCATTCTTGTCCAGATGAAATCTGGAAAAGTTTTAAGGCAACACCGTGTTTAGTTAGTGTTGCCTATCATTTGCACATCCACACTAGCTCGTTAATTCATGGTGTAGCGATTGTTGGAGAAATACTGATTTCACCTGAGGAGTGAATCGATTTGGAACAGACACTAATGAAATGTGCTGTGATTCTTGAACTATTTTGCAGGCTGCTTTCGCTGCCTTGGAGGAATTGCACATTTGCAACTTGCCTAACATAACAGAGATTTGGGGGAAGCAATTACTCCCAGTTCCCAAAACAGACGCACGGTCCTTCGAAAAATTGGCTGTCGTGAATGCCACTTGGTGTGAAAGACTGGTGAATGTGATTCCTTCGAGTATGCTTCCATGGTTAAAAAATCTAAAATCAATTTATGTAAAAGGTTGTCCAGAGATAGAAGTGATAGTCTCGAAGAAAGCAAATGCAACTGTCAGTGGCGATATCGTTAGTTTTCCTGAACTAAGTTCTCTGTCAATTGACAAATTGTATAAGCTCAAAAGTTTCTGCAGCAGCTCTACAAGTTCGGAAGCACAACCATTGTTTAATGACCAGGTACAGATGTCCTAACTCTTTTAATTAACCATGGCCATCAGAAAGCACAAGAAAAAGGATTTCTATTCCAGTGAAAATATTTGTTTTGAGTTTATATCTGTACTTGATACAAGTCCTAATATTGTACGTAAGTGATTGTACCACACCTTGGGGTCATTGTGAGTCCTACTCTTGTATTTATAGCGTTCATTCAGTCCGCTCATTCACAAAAAACTAGAGAATTGATCTATGATAATAGCAACATGATTTTAATATATTTAAAAAAAAAATGAATAGTAATATTTCTTTTTAAAAAAATAAACCTTTTTTTTTTTTAAAGGCATACAATAAAATCATGTGGTTAAGATTAACGAAAAAATCTAAATTTTTTTGTAAATGAATTACACACATGGGGGCCAAAATGAAATTACATTTGCCGAATTTTGAATGGAAAAATATCATGTGTAAAACTAAAGGGATCAAGGTAAAATTCAAACAAACTATAGGAACCACCGGTGTAATAAATAAAATATGTTGTACCTGTGGTCCTATAGTTTGTTTGAATTTCAATTTGGTCTCTCTAATTTTGTATGTAATTTTTTTCTGTTTAAAATGTTGACGGTGTAAAATGGAGGAATTACATTACAACAAAATTGCAATCTCTTATAGCTTGACCTTTTTCTTTTCACTTTTTAAATATGTTGTTTGATAGTGATATCTAGGAGTTTCTAAATATTTTTTTAACAATAATGTAATAAACCTCGCAGGTTGTATTCCCTGTTTTGGAGGATTTGTTCATAAACAGAGTACGAAACATAACAAATATATGGGATAAATTGCACTCAAGAGAGTCGTTTTGTTCTTTGAGGCGCATGATGATCGAGGATTGTGAAAAATTGGTGAATATTGTTCCGTCTTATATGCTTCCACAGTTGCGAAATCTTGAAGTACTCAATCTTTATAGCTGTCTAAAGATGTTAGCGATAGTCTCAGAGGAAGAGGGAAAAGAAAAAGATGTTAATGAAAATACCATTTTGTTCCCTGAATTAACTACTTTGAATCTTAAAAGGTTGGACAACCTCAAAACTTTCTACACACAACCCTTCCTTAACCACCAGGTATGAACTGAATGTACTTCAACTCTTTTTTATAGTTATGCTATGTTTTATGATAGACCAATCCTATTATTCCACCCGATGACTCATACAATACCCATTACAGATTACTGGAAAATTATTAATAATCTCAAATTATCTCATACTTATCAACTAAAGTCTCAACAAAATGTCATTTGTCAAAACTTAAAGCAGACTTTTTCCTCGCCGTTTCCAATTTTACGCTGAGCAAAGCTCATACATTTTTTTTTCTTCCTATAATAGAAAATAATTTTATCCACAATCATACTAAAAAATATGGCCTATAATCTTATTTGTTATCCATTTTTCACACTTCATGACACAGGGTAAATGAATCTCATGTCATTTATTAATGTGGGTCCTATTGTCTAAAAAACTATTAGGTGCTCTCGGAATATCATGTATCCATATTCTTTAATCAATCATCATTCACCATTTCTCTTGATGTTCCTCAATTACTCATCACAAAATTATAATATTTCATATTCTTCACCAATCATGATACCATAAAGCACCACGTGACCATACTCTCAGAATACTCAATAATCACCCTGTCTAGAAAATTATTAGGCATCTCCGGAGTACTACGTTATGTCTAGAGTAAGAAAATAGAATTAGAAAAAAAATATTATGTATACTCTTTTTCTTGTATTAAATGTATAGTACATCCAGCACATGTCATCCCTTGATCCATTGGTGATGAAGTGGAATTTTGGCTCGTCTAATATCACAAAACATGAATCACCATCATCACCGAGGTTCAATTCCAATCAGCAAATTATCCTACTTCATTAAGTTACTAAACAATATGACAAAATAAATTTTGACAGGTTGCACTCTCAAAGTTGAAAAATCTCTGTCTCGATCAATATTTGCAGCAATGACTACTGAAAGGAAAGGTAACCATGAAATGTTATGAATTTTAATTTGCAGAATTTCTTTCTCAATGAGATTTATGGTGAATTACTTTTTTCATTTGACATTTTTTTTTTATTTTAAAAATCATGGAATAATATGAAATTGAACTTCCTATATTATTTTATTTCCTTGTACATCATTTTCCTTTTATTTGGGAATGTGCAATTATGAATGAATTGAAAATGATGATAAGGAAATTGAGCAGGACAAACAGCGACTTCTGAAAGGAAAGATAATCATAAAATGTTACGAATTCTAATTAGCATAATTTCTTCCTTAGCCAGATTTATGGTGAATTAATTTTTTTTTTAAATCTTGGAATAATATGAAACTAATCTTATATATTTTTACTTCCTTGTATGTCACTTTCCTTTTATTTAGGAATGTGAAATTATGAATGAAAACAATGATAAGGAAACTGAGCAGGACAAAAGACGGCGTTTGAAAGGAAAGGTAACTATGAAATGTTACGAATTTTAATTTGTATAATTATTACCGCAACCAGATTTATGATGAATTACTTTATTTTATGTGATATTTTTTTTTTTATAATCTTGGAATAATATGAGACTAACTTCCTATATATTTTTGTTTTCTTGTATGCGGCTTTCATTTTATTTAGAAATTCCGCAATTATGAATGAAAATGATGATGATAAAGAAACTGAGAAGGCAAACAAACATTTCTCCAACTTTTGGCTACATCTATGACTGATGGTAAAATAGCATGCGGCAAACAGTAAAGTAAGTTGATCATCCTTCATGATTATTACGAGGAATGTTACTGACTAAGAAACAACACACTCAATAAATAAATAAAATCAAGGGAAAAAAATGTGTAGCTTTGATTCATGAAGTGTAGGATTTTCAATACAAATGTTAGATCATAACCACTTTTTTTTTGTGTGTGAATATATTTGTGTTTGATTTCTTTGCCTGTAGCATTAGTCCTATTATTATTGATGGAATTGGCTTCCCTCCATCCACTTTTTGGACAGGAGCGTACAATTTAGTATATTGTGGGCTCATTTTTGGTCTATCTTAATAATTTGAATCATGCAACTTTTAGTGTCATCAGATTGCATTATTCATAAATAAATAAAAAAAAAAATTAGGTTGATTTGATATTGATAGTCACATGTTTCAATCAAATTTGTCTTTAAAAAATGAATTGCAAGTATAATTTCGCAAAAAATAGACCATCTATATTTTTAAGACAAATGTGATTCAAACATGTTTGTACTAATTTCTAATCAATCTAATTTTTTTTTAAAAAAAATTCACCAAAGACGAAAATAAGCTAGCAAAAAGCCAAAAAAAAATCCAAACACCCACAATATCATAAAATTATAAAATTATGAAGAATGTGTTAGCATAATGGGTATTGCTGTAGCTACATTGTAATCAATGGTTCAATTGAACCCACTGAAATGTTAGACATAATCCATGTTAATTCAATGTTAATACTTGTTGGTATTTTTCCATAATAATATATGAAAAATATATAAAATAAATTAAATAGAAATGACAAAATAATTTTTTTTTAATATTTAAAGAATGAAATACAAAATAAAATACATAACTAAAAATACAGAAATGAATTAGATTACATTACTAATAGAATAAATTATTAGCATTGATAACTAAAGATTAAAACTCATCTTTGTAAACTAAATTTTTGAAAAAATTAGAATAAATGATAAGAAAAGAAGCAAATTGAAACCTGCATTAGACAGTTTCCTTAAAACAGATTCACCACCTCTAGATGGATGCTGGAGGTACGATGTCATCCGTCTCCCAAGATACGTCGGTCGAAACTAGCTAATTCAAAAGCACTTTCTGAATAGTTTCGTTGAACTTGACAATGGTTGCACCCTTTCTAATAAGAACCAAAAAAGGAGGCTAGCAAAAGAAGATAAGAAACATTTTCTTTGGTGAAAGAAACATCTGCAACTTTTTATCTCAAAACACCATCTCATTTTCTATCACAAAACTTCTCTAAAAAACACCTACTAAGTTGGAGGAGAAAGGCATCTATTTATACTAGTAGGGGAGAGCCTTAGCCATGAAGGCTAACATCAATATGGTCATCAAATGTCATCAACTTTAGCCATTAGGGCTAGACTTACAAAGGTTCAAAACTCCAAAACTATTATTTCAATCATAATGTGTATATAATGTATAAGTTTTGAGAATTAAACTATATGGGTTGCAAAATGGAAACGGGTGTTGGGTCACAACCTGATCCAAGCCCAATCTCAAACACATGCACAAACTAAGCCCAACATAGCTTAGCCCAAAGCTCAAGATCAAGTCTTTGGGGTGTCCTAAAAAAGTACACTTTTTGTCTTTTTACAAAAAGATGTGCAGAAAAGTAGAGAGGTGATGTGATGGAAAAAGGATAAAAAGATAAAAAGATGGATTATATAGGTTATGCCAAACGAGACCTAAGTCTAATACCAAACCAAACACATGCACAAGTACAAGTCTAGGCCTAGTCCAAAAGACTAAACCCAAATCTAAACCCAACTTTATTGATATTCACTTTATGAGACAATTCTCATTCACAATAATGGTTTCGACTCATTATTTTTGTATTGTAATCTTCTCATTTAAGATAATACAAAACTGCTCAGATCCACCTCAATCGGCGGTTGAGTCCCACTTTAATTTTGAATTAAAATTGCCGAAAAATCATTATTTTTCAACAATACTTTGTAATTTCATGACATAAATTTAAAAAACTAAGTGATATTTGGAAATTTCATTAAAATGACCCCACTAAATTATATTATTTTATGAGAATGACAACTTTTAACATAAAAAAATATTGAATTTTTTTTCTTTCTAAAATATGATTCATATTCGAAACTTAGTTGAAAATCAAAAACAAAATGATATATTTCTAGCCTTTTACATTTTTAGTTATTTTTTTAGTACATTAATACTCGTGTAATGTATTTTGATTATTAATTGACCCCACTAGCAATAAATACTAGCTCCGCCATTGATAATGGGTCACACTTTTAATAAAATTAACAAAGAGAACAGCAAATGAAAATACTTTTAGTGGGTCACACTTTATGTTTTCTTGAATGATTAAAATTAATTTTTTTCTCCGATTATGAATCTCCATGCATCCTGCACATATTTGATGAGAGGAAAATTCATATTTTGTTGTACATTTACAGCATCAACAGTTTGCATTGAAGTTTTGGGCAAGCACAAATTTGCTGGGGAGTGTAGAACGCTGGACTACCTTGTGCACAAATTTGCTGGTTTCTCTATTTGGCCAATAAGAAAGGTGAATGTTTTCTAATATTTTTCATTTGTATATATTTTTAGCCACAATGGTTTAGTTTTATAGCTTCCATTGTGAGCTTGATTTCACATTCCATTGTTTATGAACAACTTCTTGAGTGTGCATGCAACTTGAAAAAACTATTTAGCTACCCACAACTGTAATGATATGTATGTGATTGTGTACCCTATTTGGCATAACCTATATAAGTGCACTTATTTAGATAAGTGCACTTATTTAGATCACATCACATTTCTACTTTTCTGCACATCTTTTTGTAAAAAGTCAAAAAATATACTTATTTAGATTATCCCAAATACTCGATTTGTGAGTGGATTTGTGTATATGATTTTGGATGCTTGGTATGCTAATTATTAAGGGATGTACATTTGTGTTGTATTTGGATCATGAATTTCGATAGAAATTTGAAAAAGAAAAAAAAAATGGCACTGAAATATAGGTAGAATATAACTATATTTCATTCACATTTTACTCATATTTTCTCTCACTTTCCAAATCTATATCCAAATTCATAATCTAAACACAATCTTGGAGTGCATTGCATGGGAAATATTATGAGAGCAGTTTATGTCCTATTTGCGTTTTGATTGTATCTGTCTAATTTTGTTTTTTCGACCATAATTGGATCGGTTAAGAAAATTCGATTCGATTAATTAATACTTCCATTTAGGTAGATGATTTATGAAAAAAAGTTAAATTAATTGAATAATTATAATTACATGATTTCATACAATGTTTTAAAAACCGGACCGGTGAGCGAACCGGAAAAGGAATCGGGTGGACGGGTCACCGGTTCAACCGTCGGGTTGAACCGGAATCAAACCATGACGTAATAAATATATTAAAATTATATTTAAATAAAAATATAAGTAATAAAATTATAAATTAAAAATATTAAAAATATTAAATTATCTTAAATATTTGTCCTAATATTTTTTTTACTGAAAAATATAATAATATATTTTAAAATATTATTAATTTCAATTTTGGAAGATGAAATCAAATATTTAATATTCCCTCCATATGATTTTAATTTAAATAATTTGATTGAAAGGAGAGCAAAAATTTTGGAGAGATATCAAAATTTCAATATTCCCTCC